TTTTTTTTTTTTTTTTTTTTTTTTTTTTTTTTTTTTTTTTTTGCAATTTTATGTATCGAGATGTTTGTTCTACTCGTAAATGTTTTTTTATATGCATGTGAATTCCATTATCAAGATAATGACACAAAGATAGTTTTTGAAATCAAATCCTAATGCATCAATGATAGCTAACAAAGTCCCGGAAAAAGATAAAAAAAGACTTCGGAAGACAAGAGGTTTGACTAATCCGTTGACAAAGACTTAATTAAGCTTAGCTAAATGAGATAAATTTATATCGTATACTTATTTACACTTGCTGGAAAACCAAACTTGAAATTTAGAATTAGTTTCAGTTCGTTACCTAATTATAATTAACCTTTATTGTAAAAAGCAGATGAACTTGTGAGGTTGGCAAACAGGCTGAGCTAATGTTTGGATAGTGGGCCTCGTATTGGGCTTATTATCTACGGTGACAACTAAAAGCCTAGGTAGTTTTCAGTTTACGATATAAAGGGAAGGAGAGAATAACACCTCGTAACAACCTTCTTCTTTTAGCAACTGGAGATTGTGACTCGAGAGAGAGAGCCATTGTTGTTGTATCTTGAGCTTGTAAACTACTCTGAGATTAGTAGATTACCAGGTGCCGATCCTGAAGGAGATGTACTGAGTCGAGTTGACCAGGAACTCTAAAACTCTCGTGGTGTCTTTACTTTTCTTTTCGTTTCTCTGTTATTCTTGAGTGAGGTGTGGAGTCGCGATCTACATACAAACGAGAGAGTGAGTGATAACGAGTGAGAGAGAGTAAAATCGAAGAAGAGTTTGAACAGGATCAAAGATCGATCTAGATAGGATTCTTCTACAATTGGTATCAGAGCCACAGGTTCAAAGGATCTTGAAGAATCAGGCGATCAAAGGCAAAGAAGGGAAGAGAACCTACTGATTCCGGTGAACTCAACCTTCAGATCGGGCTATCGAAATCAAATCTGTTAGGGGAGTAACAGTCTAAATCTAATCGAATCTAGAATCTGGAAATTGATTGTGTGTTGGATTACTGTTTGCTGTTGATTTGTGTTCTTGATATCTGCAGGTAACAAGAACCGAAGAAATTATCAGCAAATAAGATGGAGCCGACGCGGGAAAAATTCGAGATTGAGAAGTTCGATGGGAAAGGGGATTTTGGTCTATGGAAATTCAAGATGATGGCTCAACTTGAGATACAAGGTCTGTTGTCAGTCCTAAAGGAAGAAGCTACTTCGGAGGATGACACAGATAAGAATGAAGAGGAGGAAGAGGATGTGAAGAAAGATCCGAAGCAAGCAGAGAAAGACTTGCGAGTGCGAAGCTTATTCAGTATCAGTCTCAGTGACGTAATCCTGCGCAAGATCATGAACGAGACAACTGCTTTAGGCATGTGGAAAGCACTGGAAAGAGACTACCAAACTAAGTCTCTTCCAAATAGGATTTACCTCAAGAAGAAATTTTCATGCTACAAGATGGAGGAGAATAAGCCAATGGAAGAAAGTTTTGATGTATTCTTGAAGCTTGTGGCTGACTTAGCAAGCATCAAGATCAATACATCAGACGAAGATCAGGCCATTCAACTCTTGTCAGGCTTACCATCAGCGTACGAGCCCTTAGTTCACACCCTCCAATATGGCTCAGGAAAGGATACTCTTACGGTAAATGAAGTCATAACTGCGGTTTACTCAAAGGAGGCTGAGCTGAAGCAGAAGGGTCTTACCACAAGAGGAAAGCAGTCAGAAGGATTGTACACATAATCAAGAGGCAGGTCTTCTTCCAGAAACGAGTCACGTGGAAACAAGACTTGGAACAATAAGGATAAAGGAAGGTTTAGATCAAAGTCCAGAGGAAAAACAAGTTCTAAACAGGACAAAACTTGTTGGGTATGTGGAAGCGATGAGCACTGGAAGAGAGAATGTCCAGAGAGGAAGTCTACTTCACAACTTGGAAAACAAAGTAGCTCGGCTAACATGGCAGCAAACCTACCAGGACCTTTTGTTCTGACAGCAAGCTTAACAGCTTCAAGGGAGGAGTGGGTCTTGGACTCTGGCTGCACGTTTCACATCACACCGCGAAAGGATCTACTTTCTGACTTTGTGGAGTTTGATGGCAACAAAGTCATGATGGGAAACGACTCGTTCTGTATGGTGAAAGGAATGGGTAACATCACTATAGATAATCATGACGGGTCTACTGTGGTTCTAAATGAGGTCCGATATATGCCAGAGATGGGAAGAAATCTGATATCCTATGGACAAGTCGAGAAGTCTGGTTGCACATACAGTGGAAAAAGACTATGAAGTTGAATTCTTCAAAGGAAAGAAGCGAGTTCTGGCAGGAAAATACAACAACGGACTGTATTACTTATAGGGTACCGTAAGAAATCCAGAGGCAAATACAGCAACAGGGGGCACAGATCATACAAGGAGGTGGCACAAGTGTCTGGCTCACATGAACATTCGTTCAATGGAAACACTTGTGAGGAAGGGACTCCTAAGGAAAGAAGAAATTGGAAAATTGGAGTTCTGCGAAGGGTGTGCTATGGGAAAAGCACATAAACAAAAATTTCCTAAAGCAAAACACACCACCAAAGGAGTATTGGATTACATTCACTCAGATCTTTGGGGATCTCCAAACACAGTTTCGAGCTTATCAGGGGCTCATTATTTCTTAACTCTCACTGATGACTATTCGAAAAAGGTTTGGATATTTTTCTTAAAAACTAAGGATGAGGTGTTTTCTTATTTTGCAGATTGGAAGAAACTCGTAGAAAACCAGACAGGGAGAAGGATCAAGTGTCTCAGAACAGACAACGGGTTGGAGTTCTGCAATCGAAAGTTTGACCAGCTGTGCAGGGAATCAGGCATAAAGAGGCACACGACATGTTCGTACACACCGCAGCAGAACGGAGTCTCGGAGAGGATGAACAGGACGATAATGGATAAGGTAAGGGCTATGCTTCAGGAAACAGGCTTAGATGGAAGCTACTGGGCAGAAGCACCCTCCACTGCTGTTTACCTGATAAATAGGTCTCCAAACGCCTCCATCAAATTTGAAATCCCAGAAGCAAGATGGACTGGCCATGATCCGGACTACGGACACTTGAGGAGTTTTGGCTGTATAGCCTATGTTCATCAAGTTCGAGAGAAAACAAGCCCCACAGCAGCTAAAGGAATCTTCTTAGGTTACGCAGATGGCACCAAGGGGTATAGGGTTTGGTTAATTGAAGAACAGAAACTGGTGATCAGCAAAGATGTGGTCTTCAATGAAGAGAAGCTGTATAAGGATCTTAAGATGGAAAGTCAAACTGAACCTGAAAACCGTATGGATCAAGTTACTAAGAAGCGAGTTACATTCAATAGCATACTCGAAGACATCTGTGACGGTGAAGGCTCTGGTTTGGGTGGAGGTTCTGAGGAAAGTGAGAATCAGGCACAGGAAACTACAGAGGGAGTCACTGGAAATGCAGTTTCAGAATCAGAGACAGAAACGGAGCAGGCTGAGGATTTAGGAAACTACATGCTTGCGAGAGACAGAGTAAGGAGAACAATAAAGCCACCATCTAAATTTGAGGATGCAGACTTCTTGGCTTACGCACTGTCAAGTTCTGAAGACATTGAAATTGAGGAACCTAAGAGTTATAAGGAAGCTATGCGCAGCAAGGATAAAAGACTTTGGGCAGGAGCCTCCGATGAAGAAATAGAATCACTGGAGAAGAACAAGACTTGGGAATATGTTGAAAGACCCAAGGGACACAAAGTGATAGGAAATAAGTGGATTTACAAACTAAAACCGGGAATTCCAGGAGAGAATCAACCACCTAGATATAAGGGAAGGCTGGTAGCTAAGGGGTATGCGCAAATAGAAGGAATAGATTATAACGAAGTATTTGCACCGGTGGTCAAGCATGTTTCAATACGTCTGCTCTTGTCCGCGGTAGCTCATTACAATTTAGAGTTGGAACAGCTCGACGTTAAAACAACTTTCCTACACGGTATTCTTAAGGAACGTGTGTATATGGAACAGCCGGAGGGTTATGTTGTTAAAGGCAAGGAAAAGATGGTGTGTTTACTGAAGAAGTCGCTTTACGGGTTAAAGCAGTCTCCGAGAGAGTGGAATCATCGCTTTCACACGTTCATGGTGGAGCAACGGTACATACGAAGTGAGTACGACCCTTGTGTTTACATGAAGGGAAAGGATGTTGGGGATATGGTATACTTATTGCTCTATGTGGACGATATGTTAATAGCTTCAAAGGATATCAACACAGTTCAAATCTTAAAGAGTCAACTAAGTAAGGAGTTTGAAATGAAAGATTTAGGTCAAGCTAGGAGAATACTGGGTATGGACATTAAGAGAGATAGATCAAAGGGGACTCTGATCTTGTCTCAAAATGAGTACTTGGCTAAAGTCTTAAAGACGTTTGGTATGGGAGAATGTAAGGCAGTTAGTACTCCTCTTGGGTCACAGTTCAAGCTTCAAAGTTTAACTAAAGCAGAGGAGGTGGAGCAAGCAAGGTTGATGGAAAACATACCTTACACAACTGCAGTGGACAGCCTGATGTACGCCATGGTTGGATCAAGACCAGACTTAGCGTATGCAGTGGGAGTGGTCTGTAGGTTTATGAGCAAACCTGGGACAGAACACTGGTTAGCAGTCAAGTGGGTAATGAGATATGTGAAAGGAGCGTTAGGAGTAAACTTAACTTTCAGCAAAGGAGAGGACTTCAGAGTT